CCTCTTAAGCACAGCATCTGTTTGTCAGGTAGGACTTCAGTGAGAAAGACATTCAATATGTTTGAATATTAGTAGCTCGGGTTATTCAGTAAATATATTCAGTAATAAATGTGGTTTGCTTAGTTTTCTATATTTTTCCCATTTCCCCCGGCCTTAAATCTATTAAAGGAGTATGTCATATTGCTTGAAACTGCTCTGCAAGCGTGATGGGTGGTACAGAAATTTAGTAAAAAAAAAAAAAGATTTAAAAGCAAAATCTCTCTTTCCCCGATCCTATGCTGCTTGACTGCTCCCACCCTTGTCTTTCAGGTCTCTGTAGATGTAGATGTGCCTATCCACGTACCCCAATAAGCAGTTTTTAAATACCAACCCAAGGTTATAAAAAGGGGGAGGTTTTTTTTAATTTTATTTGCTGGAAGAAGTATTTTGTTCAACAGTCAAACTTAAGCCTGGTTGATCTTCTCTTCACCTCTTTAGACTTATTTAGATTGCATAGCAGGTTCTTTATGATGCTATGGTCAGAATTACTGGGTTCTGTTCTCCCATTCATCCATTTTAAGTCCATCGTAATTTTGCTTTTTGCAGTCTCACCTTTTAATCTCCTTAGGGCCCTTGACTGGTGGGTCATGGCTGTTCTCATCGCTTCCCAGAACTGGTTGATGACGTCTGTCAGTAGACTTTCACAATCCTTTCTACCTTACATCGCAGGTTCACAAATGGAATCAGGGCTGTCCAGTATACAGAGCAAGTGGTCAGCCACCAGGGTGGATAAAACTTGATGGTTTCTTTTTTTTTTTTTTAAATTGGATTTTTAAATTTTAAATTGGATTTTTTTAAAATTTAAATCGGATTTTTTTTTTAATTTTTATCAAATTTATTTTAATAAAATGTTTTCGGAGTAAGCATCTATCTAAAGATAGTTTTCCATTTAAGATACATTAATAATTTAGTTTATTCAGCATGAAATGGAGCTTAGTTATGCAGCATGAGGCCGTATATTTTGCAATATTGGGACTATCGGTGAGTCAACAGCAGGACAGAGGAGGAGCCGCTGCAGGACAGAGATTACAGTTGCTCTTCAAAAATTATGATTTAAATCGAGTTGATTTAAATCCAGCCTTTTTACTAGTGATTTAAATTGTGATTTAAATCACCTTGATTTAAATCAAATCCACCCTGTCAGTCACTGAGCTCCATTCATTCTCCAAAGTTGACTCACAGTGTTTGTTGAAACCAGGTCAATAAAATACAATTCTGGGAAATAAACATCTCCTACTTCTGCAGCAGCTCCAGAAACCTTGACTATCGAATTCTTGCAGACAGAAATTTTCCATTTTATTTTGCGGAGCACAGTTAGAAGATTGCAGCGCATACTTATCCTACTCATAATACCTTGTATTGCCTTATGTAAGAGGGAAGAAGGAAAGCATAATCTATTGCAAACATTATCCTAAATTTTGACCCAATTCAACCTGCTATATAAAGCAAAATGTGAGTGTGATCGGATAAAAGGGCACATTGGCCACTGTGAGAACAAGTGCTGCCCTGGATTTTACTTTCACACAGACTTGAAAGGGCATCCCATAGAAATCAGCATACTTCTACAAGCATTTGACCAAGAGCTTGGGGTGGTGTGTGTGTGTGTGTGTGTGTGTTTATCTGTCTGTCTGTGAGTTTGGTATTCAGAATTGTTCTGGAGAGATAGGTTAGAAGCTGGACAGCTCCCAGGATCAAATTTTTCTTGGCAGGGGAGTTAGTGCCAAAAGAAGCAGCTCTGTGGAATAGATAGAATAGGTCTATCAAGTGCTTCGAACTGCAGGAGCCCTGCCCGAGGCACTGCCTCAACTGGAATATGGCACAGCTCTATTTCTTGGTGTCCTTCAGATGCATCTGGACTCCTCCACTAGGAGGGCAGCGCGGTGACTCAGGGGTTAAGAGGCTGGGCTTTTTGGCTGGAAAGCCGGCAACCCAGGTTCGAGATTCAAGTGCCACATGAAGGGGTGCGCTCTCGTCTCGCTCCAGCTCCTGGCAGTTCACAAGCATGCAAATGCAAGTAGATAAATAGGTACCACTTCGGTGGGAAAGTAGCAGCATTCCATGACATCATGCTTGGCCAGACAACTGTGGAAATGTCTTCAGACAAAGTTGGCTCAGTGGCCTTGAAACGGAGATGAGCATAACCCTCTAGAGTCGGCAGTGACTAGCGGAGTAAAATCTGCAGAGTCTCCTTTACCTTTTACTACAACTCTGCAATTGAGAGAGTTTTATGGCCCTAGGGGAACTGAGCATCCTCACTCGAGCTGAGAAATGTGCACTTCTCTCTGGTTTTGGGGAGAGTGACTTGTGGCGGGGGGGAGAACATCGGATGGCCAGTTTTGTTTAACAGTGGACCTTGGTCCTGTTTGAAATTTACGAACCTCTCTTTATAACAATATCCCAGGATCATGCATATGTGAGAGTAAAGACTGGGTATAAGTCAACAGTAAAGCAATATGAAATGCAGTCTTGTTTAGAGACTCTTTTCTCCACTCCCCCATCCCTAATCCCATGTCATATATGGTAAGTACTGAGCGAAATCTTAAAGCGCCACTTTCCCAGATTCAAACAAGGGGCTGGTTTGGTGGTAGTTTAGGACTCCAAAGACCAACCTATTGCCTAAATATAAACAACCTTTCACTGTCAGCAGCCTGGGTTGCTGTTGGATATCGCAAAGCAGGTTGTTCAGGAGTGAATTTAACTGAATTGGCCAGCAAATCACCACAGGGAACCAGGCATTAGATGAAAAAACAAAACATCTATGGAGATTCTCTGTCATCCAGGTCGTAGTTGTCCCAAAAGGCAAACTGGACTTCGTTTTTCCTTGAAGACGTTTCACTTCTCATCCAAGAAGCTTCTTCAGTTCTGAGTCAGTTTTTGGATGAGAAGCGAAACATCTTCAAGAAAAAGAAAAAAAACGAAGTCCAGTTGCCGTTTGGAAAAAAAAAACACCTTTTGGGACCCGACATTAAAAACAAAAGGACTGGGACCTGTTTCCAGAATTTAAACTCAACTTACCTGTGCTTTTTAGGCTGTATATATGATGCCTACCGAAGGAGACGACTCTTCAAAAAGTGTTCCTTTAGCGTTGCAGAGAGTCTTCTATGAACTTCAACATAGCGACAAACCAGTAGGAACTAAGAAGCTAACAAAATCTTTTGGGTAAGTGCTGGAAAGGTTTCCAAGAGCTCTTCAACCGCTAAGCGATTAGCAGAAGTTTCTGGGGCTTTTCAGAAGTGGTTTTTTTCTGATCTCTTAAATTGTGTACCTTTTGTGAGTGCAGATGGTACCTTATTAGGGCTGCAGCAAAATTAAAGTGTGTTCAATTGATTAACCCCACAAATCTTAATCTGTGTATTGATTGAACTTGCATATGGGCAGAAACAATGTCTTTAAAATAAAATAAAAAGCTTGCTGGCATAATTAGGAGGCATGTGCACGTGCAAGAATTAAACCTCTTTTAATCAATTAAACATTGCAGCACTACTTAGCTGTAGCACCTAGCGCACTCTGGCACTGAATAAATATGGCTGGGGCTGGGGCCGGTGAGTAATTTAAGGTAGTTTTGTTGCATCTTAAAATAGTGCCTACATCAATGAAAACCCCTCACTCGAAGTCCTTAATAGCCTGCTACCAATATCCTGTCATTCTTAAGCATCACTTGAAGGAAGAAAGTAGCAGGCCTGGTTCTCAGGGGGAAGAAATTGGCATTCATTACTTTAAAGCAGGAGATAGCCCTTTTATGACCTGTACACTTCAACTCCCAGAATTCCTGATCCAGCCATGCTGACTCAGGAATTCTGGAAAATTAAAGTCCACAAATCATAAAAAGTCCATGATTCCCCACCCGCTGCTTTAAGCTAACAATGAACTTGAGGCTTGGGACATTCTTACAACCAAGGGACTGTAGCCTTTCCCCCTTGGCTGTGGATGATCTTGCTTGATAGAAGAGATCCCAACACCATATGTGAGACCTCATGTTGAAGACAGGACGTTTCTCCAGAACTTCTTGGAGAAAATTCCTTCATCAGCATTGTCTTGATTCTTAAACCAAACCAGCCTGTAACACATGAAGTCAAAGGAGATGGTGCTAAATGTTTTCATGCGGAATATTCACAAGATTAATAATACAGAGTCTTGCTTGTGCTCCACTGTTTATGTTCCTTCAATTTTATTTATCGTCATAGATCAGTCTTTGCCCCCCATTTTTTTAACTTGTCTTTGTTGCAGCACTCTTTTACTAGATAACGTTCTTCTATCATATAACACCCCATTGGGGCAGCTGCCCGGCCTCCTTGGTGTAAGGTTAAGCTACCGTTGTGATTTTCTTTCCAACAGAAAGAAAAGTGTGTGTACACGTGACCAGCAGCCATTCAGAAGAGAGCAAAATGCAGCCTTTGATGATTCATTAAGAGATTAACTGAATTCCCAAATGCTTCAAAGCTAATCTCATTTTAATATGTCCTGTTTTGTTTGTGCACCGAATCAGATGTATTTGATGCTTGTGTGGTTGCTTTCAAATGTTAGCATTTTATAAGAGGCCCTTTTTGTTTTGTTTTGTTTTTAATAAAGATGGGAGACTTTAGACAGCTTCATGCAACATGATGTTCAGGAATTATGTCGAGTGGTACGTATTGTTTCTCTTTTCTTTTCACTCAGCAGCATTCAAACTGAGATTCCTGTCCTTTGTTTATGCAGCCTCTGCATAAGGAACAATCACATTAAGTGCATGCTTTTAATAATGGCACTTAATTCCAGTTCCGTTGGATTGATTGATTTTAAATTTGGTCTCGGCCCCTTCCATCTTCTTACCCTGGCTTCACCTTCTTTTTAAGATGTAGATTCCAGCATGTCACTCAAAAGCAAAAGTGGTCCCAATGCCTGAAAAACGGGGCCTTTTGTTGGTTTGCAGAGTTTGATGGGCCTAAAGCCTTCACCGGGGCTGAGCTCAGATTCTTACAATCACGGCAGATGATAGCCTTTCCCTTGATCCCAAGAAGCTTAAGTTAATATTTGGATGAGAGACCCCTGAGATATACAGGTTAGACCGGGAAAAGAATGATCCCCACCCCTGAAAAAAGGCAATGGCAAGACATTTCCATATTGTTACCAAGGGAACTATAGGGAAATGGTTATGAGGTCACTTGGAGTGCAGTTTGGCTCCGAGGAAGCTTTTCTTTGACAAGTGGAGAACCTATTTGATGAGCGGAAGAACTGAAGGGTTGTGTAAATTTGTTTTCCTGCTGGTAATGGCCGTCTCCACCTTTCTTAAGATGAGAAGATGCCATTTTGAAGTCTTCAGAACCTGCAATCAGACTTAAGAAGAAAACCAAATAATTACCTGGCTGGGCTGCATGAGAGATAGCTGAGCATCTCTCTCTCTCCCTCTCCCTCCCTCCCTCCCTCCCTCTCTCTCCCCCTCCCTCCCTCTCCCTCTCTCTCTCTCCCTCCCTCTCCCTCTCTCTCCCCAGAGTTGTCCGAGATAAAATCCTAATGGCTGCTCATTATTAATTCAGGCGTTCTGTTTTTGTTCTTCAGTTGCTTGATAATGTCGAAAACAAAATGAAAGGCACCTGCGTCGAAGGCACCATCCCTAAATTGTTCAGAGGGAAGATGGTGGTATGTATTGGACTTGTGGGGTGGAGGACAAACGGTTGCATTGTTCACCTGTCTCGATGTCCCAATGCCTTGTTTTTATTTGCAGTCCTATATCCAGTGCAAACACGTAGACTATCGATCTGAACGAATAGAGGATTACTATGATATTCAACTTAGTATAAAAGGAAAGAAAAGTAGTAAGTATGTGTGTTCTCTTAAATAAGAATTCATGTGCCTCAGATAAGCCCTTCTTTAGATTAAGATTAGATTAACAGAGTTGGAAGGGACCTTGCGGGTCATCTAGTCTAACCCCCCGCCCAAGCAGGAGACTCTACACAATTTTTGGCAGATGGCTGTCCAATCTCTTCTTGAAAGTCTCAAGTGATGAAGCTCCCATAACTTCTGTTCCATTGGTTGATTGTTCTCATGTCAGAAAATTCTCCTTATTTCCAGGTTGAATGTCTCCTTGTTCAGTTTCCATCCATTATTCCTTGTCTGGCCTTCAGTTGCCTTGGAAAATAGCTTGACCCCCCCCCCCTCCTCTCTGTGACAACCCCTCAAATATTGAAAGCTTGCTATCCTGTCTCCCCTGGTCCTTCTCTTCACTAGATTAGCCATGCCCAGTTCCTGCAACTGTTCTTGAACAGAAGAAAATAATAGGGTTGAACTGTGAAGTCCCTGATGTTCTCTGAGCTTGGTTGTTTCCTTGCAGACGTTTCATTACCCAACTAGGTGACATCATCAGTGTAGAAGGGAGTGAGGTTTACTCCCTATCTGCAAGCAAACAACCAAGCCCAGAGAGCACCAAGGACTCCTAAACCATTCTTCTATTAAATTCAGTGTCTGATTTGTATTATTGGAAATTAGCCCCCTGCTCTATTTAGTTCCGAAATATCTTGGTCTAGTTTGGGGGGGGGGGAGAGTTGTGCCCACTGAAATATTTCATGCATTTTTAATATGAAGTATATACATAAAACTTTTCTTCTCTCTTGTCTCTTTCAGTCTTTGAGTCTTTCATAGATTATGTTGCAGTGGAGCAGCTGGATGGAGACAATAAATACGATGCAGGGGAACATGGCTTGCAGGTACTTAGCCCTCAGCTGGGTCTGTGGAATTGCAAAAGATGCCAGAGAAACATAGCTTGCCCAAACAGCATGTTTGTTTATTGAAGTGTGTTTGTTTATTAACTATGCTCCCCAGTGGTGCCATTCAACGAGTTTGGTGATTGCGCGCCCAGCATTTAGAAAAGACCATTTTTAGCTATAATACTTACCTTCTGCTGCAGCCCCAGTGAGTTAAACAGCTGATGCATGAAAAAACAAGGAAATAAATCACAGGAAAAGGGCAGTCCCCCCTCCCAATCATCACCACAACTGAGCCCAAAATGTCTGTTGCTAAGTGAGACAGTCGTTAAGTGAATTTTACCCCATCTTAACAACCTTTCTTGCCACACTTGTTAAGGGAATCTGGCTGCCCCACTGACTTTGCTGCTCGGAAGGTCACAAGAGGGGATCACGTGGCCCCTGGGACACAGCAACAGTCATAAATAAGAACCAGTGACCTTGGGAAGGCTGCAATGGTCTCAAGTGTGAAGAACAGTCATAAGTCCACTGTTTTCAGTGCCGTTGCTAACTTTGGATTCTCGAGCCAAACTTCAAATAACTTCGAAGGATTCATTGCCCTGTATGAAGCCAACTCTGGCCTATGTAATTTACAGTCCCCTGTGACCATGTTCCCCCCCTCTCTCCCCCCTGGGTGTCTCATAAACCAGATTCTCCAATTGAGCACGTTCAGGGGCTGGATGTCATCATTCACGTTCTCCAATTAAATATATTCACAGGCAAAAGCTCTGGTAGTTTAGTTACAATCTTTTAAAGATTAGAGTTGGAATGTACTTTTGCTTTCAACCTGCTGCACTGCTCTTCCAGATTTCCCTCCCCCCCTTTTTATTTATTTATTTTTTAAATTTTTATTGGTTTTTAAGACGAACATAGACAAACAAAACATAAAAACATCAAGCCATCTTCCATGTATATACATACAGTGTGTCGGTTGGTTTACAAATTGTTTTGTGCTTCCATTTCGTAGTCTTCAATTACAATTACATTGTATATATTCTCATATTTTCAATCAGGTATTAAATACATTAATATCATTGTTAATCAATCATTTGACTATACTTTTATTCATTCATGTTTTACGAAATAATCATATTTTACTTAATTTGTTTTATGACAGTTCATATTATCATCTCAAATCTATCCTACAATCATTTTGTAGATATAATAAGAAAAGAATGCATCTTTATATATTTATTATTTTCTAAGAATCTACATATTTCATTACCGTGTTTTATTGTCTAACCATTGATAGAATAGATCCCAAATTTTTATAAAATTGTTTATCATCTTGTTCTCCCCCACCCCCCTTTTTTTAAATGGCAACTACTAAAACAGGCATAGGAATGTTTTATGAGTTGACACAGTTGTAAGTCGAGGATTGCCTGTTTTATGCCACGCTGGGCCCCACTTCTCCATTCTGGTTGAAAACCGGTTTTTCAGCGGATGAAGCATAACTCAATTGTGCGTTTACGTATCCGTCTGTTTGACCCACAGGAGGCAGAAAAAGGGGTGAAGTTCCTAACGTTGCCACCTGTGCTGCACCTACAGCTCATGCGTTTCATGTACGATCCCCAGACGGACCAGAACATCAAAATAAACGACAGGTAACAATACATTTATGAGTGACGCTCAGGATTCTAACAGGGGGTTTCCATTGCTGCTGAGCAGATGATGGTCATTTTATAGCTAGTCGCTGCATGTCAGAGGCAATGCCCCTTGATGCTCAGGGAGCGATGCATAACACTGAAAAAGTTCGCTTTCAGCAAATAGCAATAGCACTTAGACTTACAGCATATACGCTTTACAGTGCTTTCCAGCCCTCTCTAAGGGGTTTATAGAGTCAGCCTCTTGCCCCCAACAATCTGGCTCCTCATTTGACCCACCTCGGAAGGATGGAAGGCTGAGTCAACCTTGAGCCTGGTGGGATTTGGACTGCCAAATTGCAGGTAGCTGGCAACCAGCAGAAGTAGCCCTGCAGTACTGCACTCTAACCACTGCGCCGCAGAGGCCCCTTGGAATGGGAGACACTAGCTGGAATCCTGGGATCTTGCTTACATTAGAACAAGCCTCAGGTCCCTGTGGGGATTCTCAGGTCCCAGTTGTCCCAAAGGTACCTTTTTTCAAGAAGCAACTGGACTCTCTGGTTTTTCTTTGAACACTCTTCGCTTCTCATCCAAGAAGCTTCTTCAGCTCTTACTGGATGGTCGAGAATGGAAGGATTTGTACTCCTTGCAGACAGAGCTGGTTATCTGCATACTTTTAGTGTGTCGTTAAGGTCACCTGGAGGTTTGTCTGTGTCCTCAGGGTCACCTGAGTGGTATAAATGGGTGTGGAAAAGAATGCAAGTGACCAGCTGTCTGCAAGGAGTATAAATCTTTCCATTCCCCATCATCCTGTGTCGGATCTGAAGAAGTTTCTTGGATGAGAAGTGAAACATCTTCAAAAGAAAAAATAAGGAAGTCCAGTTGCCTCTTGAAAAAAGCACCTTTGGGACAACAAACCTTCAGAGCTGTTGTATCTTGAGCTCTTTGTACCAGCAGGAAACTTCAGGGAAGGGACTGCTGTCTCTCCCCCCACCCAACCCAACCCAGTTTTTAAGAAGAGCCCTCATCCTTTCCAGAAATGCTTTTGGTAATAAATAGATGGTCTCTATCTTCACCAAGTAGAGTTGGGGAAAACCAGGGGCAATTTATTTTAAAACAAAAAAAACAGGTGGGGGGTGAATTGGCAGAAGGCCATTCCTCTCTGTGTTCTGTCCTTTCGGTAAATTATGTAGAAATACTCAGCTTCATTTGTGGACTCTAGCTTTTGCAACAAGACTAAAATTGATGAGGTAGCTGCAGATACATCCTATCCTCGGTTTTCATGGAATTAGGAAGATGGGGAAAAACTGAAATGTTTCTGTGTTTGGTGGGCTGATTTCAGAACCTGCAACAGGAAAACTTGTAGTAATTCTCTCTCTCTCATCCACATTCTCCCTTCCTTCCCTCCCTTCCTCTCTCTCTCTCTTTCCTTCCTTTCTCCTTCCGTCTTTCCCTCTCTCCCTCCTTCTCTCCCTCTTTCCTTCCCTCCTTTTCTTTCTCCTTCCCTTCCTCCTTCCCTCTCTCCTTCTTTCCCTCATTCTCTCCCTCCCTCTTTCTTCCTTTCTTTCTCCTTCCCTCCATCTTTCCTCCTTTACAATTCCAGGCACTTAACAAACAATCATAGACAGCCCAAAAATTCTGCAGTAAAGTGATAAAAATTTATGGTACCTATACTTAATAAGAAACCTAGCAATACAAGTGATACAACAAAGATGATGCGCTTATCTGATGATGCACTTGATTACTGCATGCATTTCTAAACCACGTGTAACTCTTATCTCCCCCCCCCCCCAAACCCACTATTTTTGTAAAAGGTTTGAATTTCCTGATCAGTTGCCTCTGGATGAATTCTTGCAAAAAACTGATCCTAAAGATGCTGCAAATTATATTCTTCACGCAGTGCTCGTACACAGTGGTGACAACCATGGGGGGCATTATGTTGTTTACTTGAACCCAAAGGGGGATGGAAAAGTAAGTCAGAAAAACCATCAGGTATTAAACTGAAAGTCCTTTAAATAAGCACTTATTAACAATTTTAGCATCAGGAATGATATGTATTTTCCTCACATATAATGTCTTGGAAATTGTTGGAAGGTTAATTAAGATTTTAGAAAAGTTATCAGTCTGTTTTATCAGATGTCTGGGGGGGACGGGGACTGTTTGCATAACTTGAATAATCTATAGTTTCTATTTAAATGCTGCTAGATATTAAGTTTTTTTTAAAAAAAGAAATAGCCATGCAATCTTCTTTCTGTATGCTATGTTTAACATGCAAAAGGAATTTGAAACAATTCCAGTATGAAGGAACAAGCAAGGAGAAACTGGATCAGTTCTGGGAATTTCCTTGGCTTGCACAGTCTAGAATCAGCCCTAGCAACTCAGCTCCATGGTCAAACTTGAGACTTGTCAGTTCTGAACTGGTCTGCTTGCTACAGGGCAGTTTGCAGTGCTTAGAACAAAATTAGAATTCTAAGTTTAAGTTTCTAAAATTTAGAACATGAATGTTTTATTGAATACTTGCCGTTTTTAAATTCATTGCTTTATTTTCACAGTGGTGTAAATTTGATGATGACGTTGTATCTAGATGTACAAAAGAAGAAGCAATTGAGCATAACTATGGAGGCCATGATGATGACCTATCTGTGCGACACTGTACCAACGCATACATGTTGGTTTATATCAGGGAGTCAAAGCTAAGTAGGTGCACCAGTCATCTGTTGAAATGTAAAACAGGCCTGAATGTTGACTTTCTCCACGCTGTATTTAAGGACTGTCTCACACGTTGCACTTCTGAGACCACACTTGCAAAACTGATGCTAACACGAAGGGAAGGCAATTGAGGTTTACAACTACAAGGAGAGTGTTGTTTCTCTGATTACTTAAAAGTATATACTTTAAGGTGGTATCTGCCAGGTTTCTTGTTGTGAAAAAGGAAGAAACCTAAGTATTTAAGAAACCTGATTCATGGACACTCACTTTCAAAAAGGGATTGGGGGGATAAAAAAGCTAGATACCACATGGTCTCCATCTGGAGGATGATATTGAACATGTTTTCTATAGCAAATCCTACAGTTTGGAATATTTCATAATACAAGGGCTTGACATTTAAAATTTGGCCATTGCCCTCCATTTTAGAGCAGTTAAAAAAGCCAAAAAACAAAATAATCTGCTTCTAAGCAATAAATAAATACAAGGCTTCGGCTATTGGCAGCTCAAGGATCCAGAATGAACTTATCTGAAGCTCTGCTTGTTGTTTTAAATTTATCTCTCTTTCTTCAAATGAAGACATGCACAACTAATGCATGTGGTATGCTGAGTACAGAAACATTTCTAAAATCCTACTGAAGAAAATGCCGACCTTCAGAGATGCAATAATTTGTATCCTCTGTTTTAAAAAAGGATGACGTGTGCTTAACAGTCATCCTGATGTCAGTTTGGGCAGTACTTAGTGGAATCTCCAATCCAGACAGCTGTTAAGAAATTGTGTTAAGAAGCTTAACATTACAAAGGAATGTTGTGTCGTCGTGTTTAAAAGATTGCTAACTGTATAAATAAATAGTCTAAATGGAAGAGTGAAATTTCAAATACTAAAGTTCTTTCTAGCAGTTCACCAATGCAAATGAGTTCATCACTTCTGATAGAAAACTGACTCTGTGAAGGATTGTTGACAATCCCTCTGTTGAGGTACAGTTTGTATTATGAGAGAAAGGTTAATAAATTCCGCTGTCTTGTAGAATGTGCAAATGTAGCTTAGGCAGGAATCCGGTCCATTGTTCACCTAATTAATTAATCTCTGTACACCCAGCTCACTAATACAGCAAGGCCGGGCAACTTACAATATAATAAACAGTGTTAAAAGCTTTAAAAACAATTAAAAGTTAAGAACCAAGATGATGGACAGCCTGGGGTGAGAATCTTCTCCACCCATCATCCACCCCCAATGTAGCAGGCCCCTGTCAGGGCCCAGACCAAGTAACAGAGCCAAGATTTTAGGCTCTTCCAGAAGCCCGGGGGAGGGGGGGGTTCACTTCTGCTGAGAGAATATTCCAGAGGATGGGTGCTGGAGCAGAAGAGGTCTCCTGTGTCCCATCAGATGACATTCCTTCTTGGACAATGCCTTCCACATTCAGAATAACAAAATAAAAGAGTTGGAAGGGACCTTGGAGGTCTTCTAGTCCAACCCCCTGCCCAAGTAGAAGACTTATGGACAAATGGCTCTCCAGTCTCTTGTAAACCCCAAGTGTTGGGGCAACTACAGCTTCTGAAGGCAACCCATTCCACTGGTTAATTGTTTTCACTGTTAGGAAATTTCTCCTTAATTTTAGGTTGCTTCTTTCCTTGATTAGTTTCCATCCATTGTTTCTTGTTTTGCCTTCTGGTTCTTTGGAAAACAGGTTGACCAGCTCTTCCCAACTTGATGGGATGGGTAGATATGTTTGGTGAGAGGCAGTCCTTCAAATACCTGGATGGATGGACGGACGGACAGACCAAATGACCATCCTCAAGTCATTGGCTGCTTTGTTTTGCCTTTAAAACTCTCCTAGTGCCAATGTTGTATTTCTTGCAGGTGAGGTTTTGCAAGCAGTCACAGATCATGATATTCCTCAGCAGCTGGTGGAACGATTGCAGGAAGAAAAAAGAATAGAGGCCCAAAAGAGAAAGGAGAGGCAAGAAGCCCACCTCTATATGCAAGTACAGGTGAGCTTGGAGAAGGAGCTGCCTTGGATTTTCTGTGTCATTTCTGCTCATTTTCCCTTCGTTGGTCCTCTTTCTCACCCCCTTCCATCTGGATGCAGGTCATTGTAACTTGTGCTAAAAGTAGAACTGTGAATCAGTCAAGGATAAAAGTTCATTGCTAACTCTAGTTGAGTTTGTGGCTCAGTAGACTCTCTTGTCATTCCAAGCCCAAATCTTTGTGATGACGGGCAAGTTCTCCCCGTAAGCCTTGAGTATAACCCATGGAAGTTGATTTGATGTACAGTGGTGACTCGGTGCTCATCATTAATTGGTTCTGGGAGGTTTGATGAGTACCAAACAAATTTTTCCCACAAGGAATAACGTAGTGAGTCATAAGGCAGCCAATACAAGTTCTAGCTCGTGTATTGACTACCAAAAGAAATGATGGACAAAATGTTCATGTCAAAATGTGTTGAGTACCAAATTCAATGAGTTTCAAAGCAGTTGAGTATCAAGGTACAACTGGACAGGTAGTCTATGACTTAACGATAGTTCATTTAGTGACAGTTCAAACAGCACTGAAAAGAGTGACGTATGGTTTTTCACACAAACCATTGCGGCACCCCTGCAGTCACATGATCAAAATTTACATGCTCGACAACAGGTTCGTACTTATGACGGTTGCAGTGTCCCGGGGATCATGTGAGCCCCTTTTTGCGATCTTCTGACAAGCTAGGTCAATGAGGAATCCAGTGACCATGTCACTAACTTTAACAAATGCAATGATTCACTTAACAATTTTGTCAAGAAAGGTCGTAAAATGGGGCAAAATTCACTTAGCAAATGCCTCACTTAGCAACAGAAATTTGGGGCACAATTGTGGTCGTAACATAAGGACTACCAACTGTATATTCATGCTGGTGTTCCACAACTTTCCTTCTCTCCAGCTGGCATATGGAGACCAGCAAATCTAAAGGCAGATTATATGCAGTTTGATCGCTATCTTCTCTTCCATGGTATCTAATCAGTTGAATATTTTTCAGCAGTGCTTCTTGTGGTCGAAACTAAGCAACTTGGCTTTATTGTTTTTCTTTATATTTACAGTATTTCAGAATTTAGTTATTTATTATAGTCATAGATCAGAGACCAGAACAAATAAAAAACACTCAATAAATATACAATTAAAAGTTCTAGAATAAAATAATAAATAACAGATAAAATCTGCAATAAAATCCAGCCTGTCAATTGTACATGGTTCTAACTACACTTAAAATCACAATCCATAAATCCTTAAAATCACAATCCATAAAATCACAATCCATGGCTCCTAGTCAGTTTATTACTAAAAAGGAAAGGAAAAAAGCAGTGCAAAGGATTGGCCGCATTTGTTGTATATAATCCGTAGGGTGTTTCCAACGAATCCCCAGTGCTGCTGTGTAGAATCTAGCCACCTGCAGTGTAATTTTGGACTGTTTGTCCTTAAGCAGCCACTGGAGATAAGCAGTGTCGGAACAGCCAGGATATCTAGCAATTATTTGTAAATTACCCTTAATACATTTTTTCCCAACTTCTCCAAGTAACTCCCCTCCACTTGCATTTGGTACTTAGAGGGACATAGTTAATAATAGAACTAAGACCCAGTCACCTGGGAGAGTTAAAACTACCTGATGAGTTTCAATCAAAACTTGACAGGTGATAGTAAAGTTCCTCTCATTTGTAGATACTGTAGGAGGAGAGCAAGGTTCGCCAACGATGGCCTAATGTCAAGAGGAGACAGGAAAGTCTCGTGCCAATTAATTCTGAAAGGGGTTTTAGTTTTAGTAAAGTGGATGTATTCTGCACGAAATGTATTTTTGCTGTGCATTCATGCAGAATCCTTTTCCTTTCCATTTATGGAGGGTGATGGCAGTTGGACTTGAACCACAAGAGTCCACCTTCCTTTCTTTCTGCCTGCTTCAGTGAGCCCTCTTGTGTCCAGATGTTGCAAGCATCTGCAAAGGGCAGCCCCACTTCATTTGCACCTGCCTTATTCTGCAACAGCCAGGCAGTTTTGAGAGATTACGACCACCGTTGAGGCCCAACATTTGTGTTGCTAAGCGAGACATGTCTTAAGTGAGATTTGCCCCCATTTTACGACCTTTCTTGCCACATCTGTTAAGTGAATCACTGCAGTTGTGAAGTGAGTAAGTTAAGTGAATCTGGCCTCCCCGTTGATTTTGCCAGTCAAAAGAAGTTTGCATGATCCCGGGAGACTGCAACGGTCATAAATATGAACCAGTTGCCTAGCACCTGAATTCTGATCACGTGACCTTGGGGATGCTGCAACGGTCGTAAGTATGAAAAATGGTCATAAGTCATAACCTGGTTTCAGTCAATTTTGCTGAATGTAACTGAAGTTACATGCCTGTTTAATTAAGCCATCATAAGCAATCTTTTAAGAACATATATTTCAAACACACTTGATCAGCACACTGTCAGCACACTTTCTTTCAATTTGATATCAGCTGTTTTCTTAAAAACTGATACCATGTAGTAATATAGTGTGCTGATCAATTGCATTTGAAAAAAAATGTGTCCTTAAAGGTTGTTTATGATGGATTAATTAAACATGTAATTCAGTTACATTCAGCAGAATTGACAGTCATAAGTCACTTGTGCTGTTGTAATTTGAATGTTCACTAAACAAACTTTTGTAACTCAAGGACTATCTGTATGTCCCAATGGCAGAAGTTAACACAAGGTGTTAGCTCTGTAATAGGTCTGAATCTGAGTTATATTTTAGTATTCCACCAACCACCCCCCCAAAAAAGTTGAGAGAAACTAGAAGCTAGAACATGAATGTTCAACTTCTAAGGTGTCCATCATTGTGGAAATAGAGAAGACTTCCGTTGTGATCCACATTTGTTTCAATAACCCAATGCTTGTATAATTTCAGATAGTAACAGAGGACCAGTTCTGTGGCCATCAAGGCAATGACATGTACGATGAAGAAAAAGTGAAGTACACAGTGTTCAAAGTCTTGAAGAGTTCCACACTGGGAGAATTTGTTCAAAACCTTTCCCAAACAATGGTGAGCGCCAACAGGAGGAGGTAGCGATTTAGTCCCTGACTTTTTTTGCGTAGAATAATTTCATCACTTGGGCATTAAAAACCTGACACTGGTCTCGTAATGGCTTATCTTTTTCTAGTCAGCATGTACATTTGCTTTTTTTCAAAACCTTGTAGGGCTTCCCGCAAGATCAGATACGGTTGTGGCCGATGCAAGCACGAAGCAATGGGACAAAAAGACCAGCCATGTTAGACAACGAAGCTGATGGCAGTAAAACTGTGAGTGCACATCAGGGAGGAAATATCACTTCTGAAGTCTTGCCCAATTCCAAATGAGTTAATTTCACCTATTCTCCTTTGTTTCTCCACAGTTGTCTAAGATAAAAAATGCATAACATTTTGCACATGTAAAATTCTGTTGTATTGAAAAGTACATGACAAAAAATTGTACAATTTCTTTTATTTTTTTCAAAGGAACCTAAATAATATTTTAAATTTGCATATGCCCTAGATTGAGAGCCAGTATAGCTACGACACCAGTCTAGTCCTGTCTTAGGTGTAAAATTATCTGGGCCTAGGAAGAATGCCAAGTTTTAAATACTTGAACACATTTAAAAGCAAAAATTCAAAACCCAGAGCCCTAGATTACACCAGCTGATCAAGGTTATCCTCCCCCAGGTTATAGCAAAATTTTGAGTCCAGGTTTTCTTCTAATCCAATGCAACATTGAATTATTAAAAATACTTTAAATGCTTTTCTTCACTGATGAAGCCGTAATATTACCTGTTCCTTCCTCAGACTATTTTGCACTTATTGCTTCTTTCCCTCTCCTCTATCACTCACAGATGATTGAGCTCAGCGACAATGAAAACCCGTGGACAATATTCCTTGAAACAGTAGATCCAGAAATGGCTGCTACAGGGGCAACGTTACCCAAGTTCGACAAAGACCGTAAGTCCCATGGCCTGCGAGTTTCATGCCGAAGGGAATAATATGGTCGTCTTCCTTTCCATAGAATGAAGTCAACATTTTGGATTGTAGGATATTGAAGCTGTTTGTATTGATGAAATGGGGATTTCCTTGTTAGCATTGTATGAAATGTTTCTTCCCGAACTACGAAGAACAAGGTTATCTGGAAGTCCTCTCACCTAATAAAAAAAAGTTGGTCAATCCATTGAAGTCCTGGGAAATCTAAAGCAGCATTTCTTAACCTTGGCAACTTTAAAATGCTTGGACTTCAACTCCCAGAATTCCCCAGTCAGCCATGCTGGAAGTCCGTACATCCTTAATTTGGCTGGGGAATTCCGGGAATTGAAGTCTGCACATTTTAAAGCTGCCATGGTTGAGAAATACTGGTCAAAAGGAACCTTGTGGATTGGCCCCTTTTGACCCCCAGTTCCAAGTTGGTAGCCTCTGAAGCCCCCCCCCCCCCCCCCCCCCCCGCCGCATACCAGTGGTAAAATGGGGTCTTCAAACTGCAGTTCATTGACACCTTCATGAAGTTTGAAATTGTTCATCTCCAAACCATTCAAGGCTGCTCTTACTGGTAACTGTGCAATGCAGCCCTGGGTGATACTATCTCACCGTGCTGGATGGGGAATTCTGGGAGTTGTAGTTGCCATTAGGCACGTCACCTTCAGGACTAGGGGATGGTGCAGAGCTCTATACAGAGACCCTCTAATTGACACCGCATGGCTTTTCATCATTTTGATCATTGGCCATTTATCAACCCCAGAATTCCCCAGTCAGAGTTTCCTGCTGACCCTTGGGGAACCCTGAAGTAGATTAATAGTGTGGTGTAAACCCTAAAAATGAGCTTAAGTAAGTTTTATTTTCCTTTTAAGATGAGAGATTGAGAAGAGAAAAGAAGGGACATTCCTCAATTGATTCTTTAACTGCATGATAGTATCTAGACTGATGAACTGGAAACAGTTCAGAAAAAAGAAGGGATATTAAAAGTTAGATTTTGATCAGTCGATGGACTAGTCCTGGCTCTTGTTTCCATAACTTGCTTTAAAAAAATTGTTTTAAGATTGAGTAAATTCACTGTACTTTGATTGAAAGTACAATCAAGATTGGCTGTATCGTTGATTTATCAATCATTTGAGAAGGATAAAACCATAATCCACATCATTAAATACCAAACATTTTTCTTACTATATTTTTACACTACACCAAATATAATTGGTTGAGATATATACAAAAACAGCTCAGGCACAATTGGATATTTTGTTCTTCTTTGAAAATCATTTTTGCTGTTTTGTAGACGATGTAATGCTGTTTCTGAAAATGTATGATCCAAAGACACGAAGTTTGAATTATTGTGGACATATCTACACACCTATATCCTGCAAAATACGTGAGTTTTTGACGTTTTTGTTGCTCATAAAGAGCCCCTTAAGAATTGTGTTAAGCCAAAAGAAAAAAAATATTCCACCCCACATATTATGCTTTGCATAATAAAATTCTGTAGTTTCAGATCATATATTTGTCAGAACTCTTTAAATATAGGATAGCAAAGTTCATCTCTAACTGTTGAATCTGTGAGAGAAGCTAATTTTGAGCTATAGTTTTGATTTCTGAGGTAAACCATAACATTAGATAATTAAAATAATTATTAGATTATTAAAATGCTTTGTACACACAATATTTTTCCACAGAAGCAGAAGTTGCAATATGTATATTTTCCCCTGTTCTGTTCTTCCTCCCAAGGTGACTTACTGCCAGTTATGTGTGAAAGAGCAGGATTTCCCCAAGAATCTAATCTTATCCTCTATGAGGTTTGGGCCATTTATTTACTTTTTCCTTAAAAGTAGAATTATTCTTTGAGACATTTATCTGGCGGGGGGGGGGGTGTCTGAATGTTATGAAATATTGTCAGAGTGAATAAATGTCTTTACAGCACAATAAACTTTAAGCACTCCAAATATGAACACATTTCTTTTAAACGTGTCTTCTTTTTAACAAATAGTTGGAACAAATTGCAAAGTTTGGCAGTTTTTCCAAATTACGTTCCAAGCAACGATTTAAATTTTTTACAAGGAGAGTTTAAAAAAAAAAAAAAACATGTTTTCCTGAAATCGTACAATTATTGTGTGAACTTAGGAAAACATGTAAACTTAGGAAAGTGTCCCCATCCAGCAACATCAGCAGAAGGGAACATGTTGGAAAGGGGGTAAGAGGGAGCACGGAGCAATTTTAGATGCAGCAGTGAATTAGGAATTGCATTCAATGTTGCTGGATCCAATCTGGGTCGGTCACTGGGACCAGAGGTTTCATCTTCTGACATTTTTGGAGCCCATCATCAGAAACTTCTTTCTCACCAGAACGTGTGGACAGAAAGAGAAGTTCCCTCAAGATGGCTTCCAGCAGGAGGCCAAAATCTCAGAAGACTAAACCTCTGGTTCTGATGACTGACCCAGATTGGATCCTGCAACATTATCCGGGGACACGTAGATTTGCCTTCTATACGTCATTCAATGTCCTCACATAGATTGTGGCCCAGGGAAAAGCTTAACAAATTCTTAATATTGCACACAATACAGGCAGCCCTTGACTTACAGCCACTATTGAGATTAGAATTTCTTACAAAGTTTGTTCTGAATTATTGTGGCTGTAATAATGATTATTTTTTTTTGCAACAACTTTTACTTCAGTCATAAGTCGAGTCACCGTAGTTCTTAAGCGAATCACATGGTTGTAATTTAAACATTACAACCTCAGTTGTAATGTTTGCCTCAGCAAGTATGTATAATTAAAGTTCTGCCTTAGCTTTTTGGAGTGTTTTCACCCAAGAATGATCCCTTTGAAAACAGATAGATAATATTTGACAGTATTTTCATCAGAAAAAAGTCATGCCATAACGAATTTATCAGTGGTATAAGAGCCCTAGTTGGTTCTAATGAAGCAGAACAAAGGTAAACCTCTAAAAATGAATCACCCGCAATAGGTACTTAGAACTCAAAATAAAAATAGTCAAGTCTTCCTTTATCAGATATATTGAAAGGGAAAGAGGAATTGAGTTATCGAAATTTTGGTAACTACCTTTGCTTTAGTACCTATTTTAAGTTCATTATACCAGAAGATCTTCTGTGCTTGTAACTCTGCACAAACTCCCATTTCTTTTTCTAGGCTGAGAAGCCTATCATAAAATATTATTAAAAGAGAATTGCAGAACCGCAGAGGCTAATCTTTTTATTTTTATTTTGTTCTTTCCAAAATAGAAATCAGATAGATCCCTAAGAGCTAATTCCAGAATACATTTGTTAGTGTTTATAACTGAAAAGTTATCTTCAGGGCATAGCTTTGAGTACATTTTTATCCTGAAGGAATAGTGGTTAAATGTACTGTAGGACGCTGAATACTTACGTATGTGTACTGTGGCTACCTATACAAAAATATATACAATTTTTATTTAGGATTGAAAATGAACTATTTCTCCTTAATTATGACTTCTGATAACTAACCCCTTAATTTCTTGTGGGGTTCTTTTTTCCCCAGGAAGTTAAACCGAATTTAACAGAGAGAATTCAAGACTATGATGTTTCCCTCGACAAAGCTCTTGACGAACTCATGGACGGTGACATCATTGTGTTTCAAAAGTAGGCTTGCAACCATTTTTGTGCAAGGGCTTTGAAAATTTCAATCCCAGGTTCTCCCAGTAGAACGTCCCTTGGATGTGTCAGCTTCCATAACCCCCAGCAGCCCAAATCAATACGGGTTCCAACACATCTGGTTCCACCATTAGTTTAAAAGATAACTGGGTTAAATCTGTGATGAGATAGGCAAAATGTTTTTCAATTGAAACCTTTTAAGTTCAAAACAACCATTTTCCAGGCCAGGGACAGACAGACAGGATACCTGTGGTTTAGAATGTTCCATTGGAGGGGGGGGGGGAAGGATACCAGATAGAAGCTTTTATTCCCCCCCCCCTTTTTTTTGTTGCAAGACAAATGTAGGCTCTGTGTGAGTGCTGCCTCATCCAATGTAATTTCTTAAGGCAAACAGTGGAAACAACAGTTCAAGAAGCATAGGGCTGGAAGAGACCTTGGCGGTCTTCTAGTCCAACCCAGGGGTGGGATTCAACCGGTGTTACTACCGGTTTGGTAACTTTCGATGACGCTGTGCGCGCGTGTAAAAAGACCTTAAGCTGCGCCACCCAGAGAGTTGAAAAACGCAGTGCGCAGGTGCACAGCATTTGAAAAGCTTCTTTTTTTACTGCTTTTTCAACCTCAGCTGTGCCGCGCAAAGCAGCTGAGGTTGAAAAAGCAGGAAATAAAGGATAGGTAAGAGCCTGGGCAGGCGGGTGGGCCAAACAGCAGCAAACACAGAACCAGTTTGGTGTCTGCTGCTCTTCAGAGCTACCAGTTCTATAAAGCCGGGCAGAACCAGTAGCATCCCACCAATGGTCCAACCCCCGTACTCAAGACAGGAGACCTGATACCCTCCCAGTCAAATGATGGTCCAATCTTTTCTTGAAAACCTCAGCAATGGAGCACCCACAACTCAGGGAGGAAAGCTGTTCCATTGGTTAATTGTTCTCTCTGTCAGGAAGTTTCTTAGACCCAGATTTGATCTCTCTCTTTAACCATTTAGGCATGGTTTGTTTGTTTGTTTTGCCCCCCTGCCTATTCAAAGTTTAATAACATTTAAAAATGATCTCCATTGTTGATTTTTTGATACTTAAGTGATGGACTCAGGAAGGGTAAACTACTACTGCTTTTAATATTGTGACCTCAGTACAGAAACTGAAGGAGTAATGGAATTGTTTCAGATTCTTACTTACTATGTAGTGAAACACTCCATCGTTTCTCAAATTTTATTCCAGTGGGTTGCAGTTGACTTGAAATCCTCTGGTAGAGCATTCTAAGCGAGGTCTTTACTTAAAACAAAATGCTCAGCCCCATTTTGCTTATAATCTGTTGGAGTTTTAGTTGAGTAATCTGCTGTGTTGGCTGGCTACAATTTGTGATTGCAATGAGTTTTTGTGAAATTCTTTCAAAAACAGTTTCATTTTTGCTCTTTGGCATGTGTGCATTATTTTAGTAGTTCATTGTTAGAAGTTAGGGTTTGCTCTTGTTCACTTGGACGAAATAATTTCTAAAGGTTTACCAAGAGCTACAGATTTTGATCATCTTTTCAATGTTTCAGCAATTTTTGTGTAATTATAATTTTTTCCTGCTTACAAGGGATGACCCTGAAAACGACAACAGTGAATTAGCAACAGCAAAAGAGTACTTTCGAGATCTCTACTACCGAGTTGACGTCATCTTTTGTGATAAAACTATCCCCAATGATCCTGGTTTTGTTGTCACATTGTCCAACAGAATGAATTATTTTCAGGTATTTACTCTCTTCTCAGCACCTCTGTTGGATTCAAATAATGTGGTATGGAGTAAAATCATAATTTTTAAACCCACAACTCTGGAAGGGAAGCTGTTCCATTGTTTACCAGAATTCAGCTCACTTTCTATTCTTTTTAAAAAAAATATTTTCAGGTTGCAAAGACAGTGGCTCAGAGGCTTAATACGGATCCTATGCTGTTGCAGTTCTTCAAGTCCCAAGGGTAAGAGATGTTGATCAAATATATCATCTGGTTCATGTTGTAATGTAGATGCTGAAAACTACAAATGTGAGAGAATGACACCTCACGTATATTCCTGATGCCAAAAATCTCCAGGAATCCTGGAGAAGAATCCTGAATTTGGGGAGGGAAAGCCAATTGTGCACAGAAGATAAATTGCAACGTTTGGCACAGTTGGAAATTTCCTTTCAGATTCACTAGATTGGATTGGATCCTAGTTAAGGCAGTTATTTTTCTCTCTGGAGAAATGAGACTATATCTGCTGAACAAAACTCCGCATTGGCGTCAGGAAGGGCATCCAGCCAGTAAACACTCTGCGAACTCCATTCAGTTGCCCAGACTCCACTCCGCAAGGGATTATGGGGTCATTAAACGAAGATGATGATGATGATTCATTGGATTTTGGTTCACGCTGCACATAAATCTGTGTTTTAGATCCTGGTGCAATTGATGTTCTGGTTAAATATTCTTTCCAAGTTGGTCATCTTTATTGTGAATCAACGTGCATACTTTTTAAGTAGCAGGATTATTTAAAATATGTTTCCCACAAGATGGCAAACCTCTGTAGATTCTATAAAACCTATATATGGCAATAGCACTTTGACTTATATACCGCTTTATAGTGCTTTCCAGTCCTTTCTAAGCAGTTTACAGAGTCAGCCTCTTCCCCCCCCCAAAATCTGGATCCTCATTTTACCCACTTCAGAAGGCCGAGTCAACCTTGAGCCAGTCAGGATCGAACTCCTGGCAGTCGGCAGAGTCACCCTGCAATCCTGCATTCTAACCACTGTGCCACCAGGGCTCCCTCTCTTTATTCTAAAGGCAGGGAAAAATCATAGTGGATATCAAACAGAGTATATAAAATATTAAAGACTGATTACATAAAAAAAATCCAATTGAAATGCTGTGCAGAAAGTATTTCAAAGTAAGATTTCTTTTCTTTTTTTCCCCCTTGTCTCTGTCTGTCTGTCTGTCTGTGCCTCTGGTTTTTAGTTACAGGGATGGTCCTGGTAACCCTCTTAGGCATAATTATGATGGAACTTTAAGAGATCTCCTGCAATTCTTCAAACCCAGACAACCTAAGAAACTTTATTATCAGCAGGTAGGGGCTTCGGTTACTTCTGCAAGAAGGAACAATTGGCTTGTTTTTCAGTATGATTAAACTGGTGTCTTTCCCCCCCCCTCCCCCCCCAACTCTCCATAGCTTAAAATGAAAATCACAGACTTTGAAAACAGGAGAAGTTTTAAGTGCATATGGCTAAACAGCCAATTTAGGGAAGAGGTAAGCCCTTTCATTTGTTGTGATGTTCAGAATGATCAAATAGGAAGTGTATTCATGTTACTCACCTATTTGTCCTACAAAATGTTTACTAATTCTAAAATTCCAGTAATAGTAAAGTATTTGAGGAACAAATTTTTATCTATGGGTAGGGATTTGCTGTTGTTCCTTAACTTTTCAGCTCCATACATGAACTAACTGAATAATTGCTCAGTAGTGTTCTAATTTCACAAGTCTCTTTATTTGCACAAAGGTGCAATCAATTAACAAACTGTTTGCTTGTTTGTTAAATTTATATGCTGCCCATCTTACTATCCAAAGAGCTTCCTTTTTTGATTCAACATTTTTTTTCCTGCAAACCCTATTGCATACATAGAACATTATTTGTATGCAATATAGCCTCCTTTCATATTAGTGATTCTTTTGTAGTATCAAATAAACTTGGTAGGTTTTAGCATTTGTACACAACTCAAGAGCTTGTTCCTTCTAACTTTAATTTCCTTTTGCATCTTACAGCAGTTAATTATTGGCTTCTGCTTTTCTCTCTCTCTTTTCCTCTCTCTTTCTCTTCCCAACCCTCCCCTTAACTTTTTTTTTAGGAAATAACACTATATCCAGATAAACATGGATGTGTGCGAGACTTACTAGATGAATGTAAAAAAGCTGTAGAACTTGCTGAAAGAGGTTCAGGGAAATTAAGGCAAGTGTTTTCTTTACTTAATTAAAAGTTTTTTCCCCCCACCCCTAGACATCTACTGAAACTAAAAAGTATACTTAAACAAATTAGGAAAGCCAAACCTTAATTTGATTACCAATTTGAAATGTTTTTATTCCTTATGTTTACTGGGCTCCATTTATCCATTGTGAAAATGTATGTTAAGCCAGATTTGAATGCATATTCTTAAAAGTCATCTCACCTTCTGCGCTAAGTTCTGTCAAAAGGAACAGGACTTCCTCAGGAGTTCAGTTGTGAGTTTTCGAGTATTCTTACACCATCTTTCTCTTGTTAAGGCTGCTAGAAATCGTAAGCTACAAAATCATTGGTGTCCATCAGGAGGATGAATTATTAGAGTGCTTATCGCCAGCAACCAGTCGGACATTTCGAATAGAGGTCAGTGTTGAAACAATGTTCAAACATGACTTATCTGAGTGCCATCAGACCCTTGATGGGGTTATGGGCCCAAGCAGCTTTCATGACTGAATTCCTCCTTTGAATTCAGTCACAATGTGCTTTGTTTGATGCTTGGTTTGATGCAAAATCCAGGTGATTATGGCTCGTTCAATAAACCATAGTTAGGTGCATCACCCATTTCACTTGAGGAAAAAAATCCATTAATTCCCAATGGGTCTTACTACATTTATGGGGTTCTGAGGCCCATGTATGCAAAGAGGCAAGATGGGAAATTACTTTTAATAGGTAACGTTGGGACTTGGTTGAGGTGTAGGATATACCTCACAAAGATCTTCTCCACAGGCCTCAGTGAAGTGACCAGCCGTTATTAAACTGCTTTAGGAGAATTGTTGTCAGATCTGTGCTTCTTAACCTCAGTTTCAGGATGTATGGACCTCAACATCCAGAATTCCCATCCAGTCCACCATGATGGCTGGGGGAATTCTGGGAGTTGTAGTTCGTACACCTATGTGTTTTGTATCGGTTTGGTTTCAGGAGCAGGGGCTTGTTTAGTTTATCTGCCTGAAGGACCCAAAATCCTTAGATATCCAGATCTGAACTGATCCAATAGATCTGACATTGCAACACAGGAGCCCTTTAAGGAAAATAGGAGGACTTTCCCCTCTTCAAAGAAGGGTGGGGAGGAGGAGGAAATATGCTGGCAATTTTTCCCCCAGAAGACAACCATCCCCAAACTGTAGTAGAATCGCTCTCTCCAGTCCATTTGATTGATTGGATGAGGCGAGCAAGTTTTCGATACCATCATCTTCACCAGGCTAGGGATTGCCAGACTTAATAAATATTGTAAAGGCTGGGGATAAAAAAAGGAGATTTGAAGCCTATCAGAAACCCCAGATCAGTTGCTCATAATGGGCAAATTATGGGAACAAAGATCTATTTTGCAGGCTTGACAAAGCTAGGGCACACAGGGGAGCCTTACAGTTTGATTTTTATCCCCATCACAATTCCCAACTTCTTCTTTACCTTTAAAGGTTGACAAAGTACTGATAAAAGGAAATTTGTAGCTCAGGGCTGAACCGACGGGTCCTTGGTGCTCTCTGAGCTTGGTGGGTTTTCTTGCAGACGTTTCAATACCAGCACTGATGGTGTTACTTAGCTTGGGTCACAAAACGTCTGCAAGAAAACCACCGAGCTCAGAGAGCACCAGGGGCTGATGAAGTGTCCAAAGGGGCTTTAGCTCTGCTCACCTTGAGATCCAGGAGCTCAGGGGTGTCTGGCCCGTGGGGCCGCCCTGGAAATAGCAAAAGGACCGGTCCGTGGTGCCTCTACCAGTGAAAACGGAGCTTTGTTTTCACTGGCAGAGGGCCCCACCCCTGCTGTGGCTGCTTCCTAATCAGATGTCGGTGTCTTGGGTTACTTCCTCTTTCAGAAGATCTGATTCCACGACTGCCATACTTTTCAGCTGTCCTGCTGATGCTGCTGGTGGACAATCTTCCTAATCCGCATCTCGCATTGATCTTTTTATCTGTAGGAAATTCCTTTGGACCAGGTAGAGCTCGATAAGGAGAATGAGATGCTAATTACAGTGGCTCATTTCCAGAAAGAGGTTTTTGGAACATTTGGCACCCCTTTCTTGCTAAGGATACACCAGGTGGGTTCTGTATAAACTGCTGTTGCGTTGAGTCTGTGCTACCGAAAGAGAAATTTTGTTGGAGACTGGAGACCAAAAGCTTGATGGATGGTCTTCCCAAACGAGTGACTATCCAGTCTCATCAATTTCATATTATTGTTCATTCCAAGCCACTCATCACAACTTTTGGTCAACATTCTTGGGTGGTAAACTTAATCAGTGTGCAAGCATGGGTGTGCATAAATGTTTATAAATGTGTACACACTGCTGTTCAACTTTAATATGCGCACAAAACAGGCTTTTAGCACCGTCAAGCATCATCTCAGATGTACAAAATAGACCTGAAACTAAAGTTTACTAGAATAATATATGCCTGATAGACTTTAACGTGCTAGTGCAGTGGTGGCTAACCTTTCGGGGCTCCTGTGCTAAAAATTGTGCGCACGCTTGCGCGCCAGCACCCAGAAGGCAATGTGTCCCCCCACGCCCCCTGCGCATGCGCACGCAATCCCCCCTTCCTACCCTCTTATCTGCACTGCACCTCCCAGCTGATTATCAGCCCGTTTGAGGCCTTTCTTGGCCTCCCAGAAGCTTGGTGAAAGCCTCTGCAGCCCGAAAAATAGGCCCATTTTGTCACTTCTGGTATATCCAGAAATACAGGAAGTGAGGAAACGGGCCTATTTTTGGGGGCTGCAGAGGCTTTCCTCAAGCCTCTGGGAGGCCGAGAAAGGCCTCAAACAGGCCAAAAATCAGCTGTGAGGTGCGCACATGCGCAGTGAGGTAAGTTTGCCTGCGGCTTGTGTGCCGGCACAAATGGCTCTGCGTGCCACCTGTGGCACGTATGCCATAGGTTTGCCATCAGGGTGCTAGAGTTAATATCCTGTATTTCTGGAATTCTGATGCTTCTAGGGCGAACATTTTCGAGAAGTGATGAAGAGGATTCAGACAGTTCTGGACATCCAAGAGAAGGAATTTGAAAAGGTATTGATGTGAAGTAGAATATCTGTTACTCTGCAAAGGGTGGTGGGTGTTAGAATTGGCATGAGAGAAGTAGAAGAAAGGGGTCTTCCTTCTTTTGATTTACCATTCGTCATTAAATCTGTAAGGACCTGACCTTCCTTCCCCCACAAAGTTCTCACTTACAATCTTCTGAATAAAACTGCCTAGAATTGCTTTGTAAATGTAAATACTTCAGATACTCTATATTTCAAACGTTGGATTTTATATTTGAGGTGTAAAATACAATCAGGTTCAATACAGAGGAAAGCATGGATAGAAGCCAGAATTATAACCATAAGTCATTGTGATTGTAAATTGAGGTATATCAGGATATACCTAGGTTCGAGACCCCAGCGCCACACAATGGGGTGAGCTCCCGTCCTCGCCTCCGCTTTTTTAGGTTGTTCTATTCTCTATCCATTGATAAAACATATTCCATACCATGTAATATTAATCTTTCTAAAGGTTTATCCTTTTCTCTCGCCTTGTCCTCGTGCCCAATTTTCGTTGCAGTCACTGAAGTGCGATAAAGAAATATTCTATTGTTGTTGTTTTTTTCTCTTTGAAGTTTAAGTTTGCTATTGTAATGATGGGCCGGCACCAGTATCTTAATGAAGACGAATATGAAGTGAACTTGAAAGATTTTGAGCCCCAACCCGGTGAGGATCCATTTATTTTCATTTGGGGGCTGGGTGGGGCAGGGTGTGTGTGAGGGGGTGGGGTTTCTTCAAAGTAAGTGGGAGCCAGCATGGATAAAAATTGATTCTAAAAAATCAGATTTTTTTTAAAAAAAATAAACTTGATTTATTTTATTTTGATCAAATTTATTTTAATAAAATGCTTTGGGAGTAGTAAAAATCTATTTAAAGGTAGTTTTCCATTTAAAATACATTAATAATTTAGTTTATTCAACATGAAATGGAGCTTAATTATGAAGCATGAGGCTGTAGGTTCTGCAATATTGGGACTGTCGGTGGGTCAGCAACAGGTCAGAGGAGGAGCTGCTGCGGAACAGAGATGACAGTTGCTGTTTATAAAAATTACAATTTAAAATGAGTTGATTTAGATCAAGCCTTTTTACTAGTGATTTAAATCGTGGTTTAAATCAACTTGACTTAAATCAATTCCACCCTGGAGGGAGATAACTTCAGGTTGAAGGCGGGTTGTGGGTTCTAGGTGTCACAATGCTTCGGGGCTTGTCGAGTGTCGCAGCAAACCCTCCAGAAACGGTCTCACCCTTTCTCTTCCTCTCTCCCTCCAGGCAACATGTCTCATCCCAGGCCATGGCTCGGGCTCGATCATTTCAACAAAGCCCCAAAGAGAAGCCGCTACACGTACCTTGAAAAAGCTATTAAAATCCATAACTGACTTACCCTCTCCAGTTTGTTCGAGGCAAAAGGGGCAACAATAAGTGTGTGTGTGTGTGCGTGCGTTTGCGTGCGTGTGTGTGTGTGTGTGTGTGTGCGTGCGTGCACCTTTTTAACAACTGTAGGACTTTTGGTACACGTGCACTTGAGATCGGGAGTGTCCAGCAAGACAATTTGCTGCTGATTTATTAACTTTATTTTGAGGCTGTTCAGTTTGGCTTCTCTGTATATCTTATTATTGACTGCCCTCTATTTTTTTTTTTTTTTTGAGCAAAAAAAAAAAAATGAAGGTGTTTTATAAAAAAAAATAATAATAATAAAGATCGGGTGCCAATGAGAGTTTTTATGGGAAACGTAAACCAAGGAAGATGGTCAGCATAAAAGAAGGGAAGGGTCAAATAGGACAAGTTGACATTGGCGAACTCTTTGTCTGTAGTACCTTTAAGGGGGCAGTCTGTGCGGGCTGCCCTCCCCCTCCCTCCTTTCTCCTCCCCCCCCGGCCCGATCTCCTCTC